GCCAGAAGCGAATAAAAAGGCTCTCCAATCACTCCGACACGTATCATCTGGATGAGGAGGGCATATGGTAACCAGTCCTGCCGGTTCTTGGGACCGGTGTGGAAGAAGCGCTCCGGCCGCTGCTCGATTCTCGTCTAGGGAAACCCTGAGGGCGTGGCAGGGGAGCCCCGCGTGATGTCATAGGGGCTTCGTCTGAGCGATCCATGACAGTACCCCTCCCTCCACGACCGCCACCCGGCGGATGAACATGACCTCTGGCACGGCGGCGTTCAAAGTCAGAGATCAGAGGCGGATCCAGGACGTGCCGAGCCGGAACCCAGGACCGTTCTTCGGGGCCATATCCCTGCCAGTCCACTAGATACTGAAGGCCACGACCCCTTCGCCGGACATCCAACAAGCGATGGACGGTGTACACCTCCCCGCCGTCGACCAACCTGGGGGGAGGAGGAGGCAAAGCAGGAGAAGCCAGGGGACTGACCGCATGGGGCTTCAGCAGGGATACATGGAAGGTAGGATGGACTCGCCGCATGGTCACCGGAAGACGAAGACGAACGGCCAAGGGACTAATAAACTTGGTGATGGGGAAGGGACCAACAAACCGGGGTGCCAACTTCCGAGACGAAACCCGTAGCGGAAGGTTCCTAGCGTCCAACCACACCCTCTGTCCCACACGGAGAGTGGGAGCCCGAGACCTGTGGCGGTTGGCATATTTCTCCGTGCGTTTACAGGCACATAGCAGGATGGACCTGGCCCTATTCCAGGTCCGTTGACAACAACGAAGAAAACAATGGACGGATGGGACCAAGACCTCCTCCACAGCTGGAAATAAGGGAGGTTGATAACCAACACAACACTGGAATGGGGACATACCCGTGGAGAAGACGGGCAACGAATTATGGGCGTATTCCACCCAAGAAAGGAAACCACTCCACGATTCAGGTGAGTGCGAGGCCATACAACGTAGCATCCGCTCCAGGTCATGGTTGGCTCGCTCTGTCTGTCCATTGGACTGTGGGTGGAATCCGGAGGACAGACTCGCGGTGGCACCAAGCAACCTACAGAATTCTCTCCAAAATCTGGAAACGAATTGTGGACCCCTATCAGAAACAATGTCAGATGGTAGACCATGCAACCTGAAGATGTGGTCCACTAATAACTGAGCCGTCTCTTTGGCTGAAGGCAGCTTGGGAACAGGAACAAAATGCACGGCCTTAGAGAAGCGGTCCACAATCGTGAGAACTCCAGTGAAACCTCTGGACGGGGGAAGGCCTGTTACGAAATCTAAGGCTATATGAGACCAGGGGCGTCGGGGAACAGCAAGAGGCTGCAATAGACCTGCTGGAGCACGGGAGGGAGTCTTATTACGAGCGCACACCGGGCAGGCCGCGATGTAACCACGGATGTCCTGCAGCATGGTAGGGCACCAGAAGCACTGGCCGAGAAGCGCTCGGGTGCGATGTACGCCAGGATGTCAAGCTAAGAGGGAGTCATGTCCCCACTGAAGGACCCGGGAACGCAGGAAGTCAGAGACAAAAAGCCAGGAAGGCGGACAACCCCCTGGGGACTGGATGAACTGTTGAACAGCCTGGACGGCCTTCTCAACCCCCCAGGACACTGCTCCGATGAAGCGGCTCTCCGGCAGAATCGGTCCACTCCTGGGAGCCCTTTTCACCAAACTGCCGTGACAGAGCGTCAGGCTTGCGGTTCTTGGAGCCCGGTCTGAAGGAGATAAGAAAATTAAAGCGGTTGAAAAATAGTGACCACCTAGCCTGGCAGGCATTGAGTCGCTTTGCCGATTGAAGATATTCGAGGTTCTTGTGGTCCGTGAGGATCAGGAATGGGTACTTGCTAATGGACATGATGCTTACAGGAGTGGGGACCGGAGCAGAGACAGGCGAGGGGGTAGAGACTGATCACCCTCAAGGTAAGGCTTCAACATGTTTATATGACATACGCGAGTTTTCCTCCTGCGGTTAGCAGTCTCTAACACGTAATTGGTGGGGCTAACCTTTTCTTGTATCACATATGGACCCAAGAAACGGGCGTACAGGGAGGACCCGATCAGCGGCAGAAGGGCTAGGACCCAGTTACCAGGCTGGAAACACCGGGACCTTGCAGACTTTTCAAATTGCCCTTTCATTTTCTCCTGCGCGGCTCCCAGAGACTTCCAAGCCAAGTCCCTAACCACAGACATCCGGTCACGAAGGGAACTAACAAACTTGGACACATTCTGCGAAGGGGATGACACACCTGGAGAAATCCAATGCTCTTGTAATGCCTTCAAGGGACCTCGAACAGTGTGACTGAACACTGTTTGACTCTTGGACAGTATCGCGTATTGCAAAAAGGAGAAGAGGCACTCCCTCATCCCACGCTCTACCTGCGTCCAGACAGTAAGTACGCAGCATATTTTTAAATGATTGGTGAAATCGTTCCAACGTTCCTTGATGCTGGAAACTGTGTGACGCACCCCCAATTCGCAAACGACTTGAGCAAATAGTTTTGACGTGAAATTGGTACCCTGGTCTGACTGCACATGTCTAGGAAGCCCAAAAGTAGTAAAAAACTTAATCAAATGCTTAACTGTGACAGGGGTCCGGAGGCTGCGAACAGGGATGGTTTCCGGGAATCAAGTGGTGGTACACATGAGGGTGAACAAGTACATGTTCCCCGAGTGAGTTTTTGGTAATGGGCCCACGCAGTCAATAAGCACATGCTCACCGATCGCTGGTATCGGACGTAGTGGAGCCGGGGCAATAGTCTGGTTAGGCTTACCCACTAGTTGGCAGATATGACAAGATTTACAATGGCGTTTTAAATCGGAATTGACGCCGGGCCAAAAGAAATGAGTCAGGAGATGGGTTAGCGTTTTCCTGATTCCGAGATGACCCGAACACGGGTGATCGTGAGCCAGGGACAACACATAGTCACGGTATAAATGGGGGACTACCACCTGAAACACTGTAGCCCACTCGAAAGGCGAGTTCGGAGGGGTCCATTTCCGCATCAACACTTGGTTACGAAAAAAATATGCGGTGGGGTGATTCTTTAAGTCGGCCTTGTCTACAACAGAGGCACGACAACCCTCCAAGGAGGGATCATCTGCCTGTGCCACAATCAGAGCGTCCCTAGTAGAGGGAACTTCAGGGGAAACAGCAATATTCTCCGGGGCTTCAGGGTTACCTGACGAAGGAGATGTCTTCGCTGGTTCGGACGTAAACGTCTCGGCTAGATCTATGTCGGCGAGCTTGCGCTGCTCAGCCCGCGTAAGCACACTGGCTGGAAACACTTGGGGCAGATCAACCGCAATATCATGCGCGCAGACCTCAGGGTAGGAGACAACTTCCGGTAGGGGAACAACCCTCTCCCCCGCAATATCATTCCCCAAAATAAAGGTGACGCCTGGAACAGGTAACTGAGAGTGAACCGCAACATGAACAAATCCCGCGAAGTCAGGAGTACACAGAAAAACCCGGTGCAGGGGAATCACAGCCACACACAAATCTATACATTGCACCAATACGTCAGTGCCACAATACGCAGTGATATCTAAGAGAACAACGCCCTCGACTAAGAAGGACTGTGCAGCTCCCATATCCCGTAGGATAGTAACAGTGTGTCGTACCGTTCTTCACCGAGCGAGACAGAACCAGGGAACACAAATGGTTGGAAGGCGGGTTCGACAGCACCAGATGGCAACAGAATACGTTCGGGACGGGCAGCAACATGCACTTTCCTTGCAGCAGCACGAGCGTCCTTACGTTTTAGCGCAGGACAAACAGATATAATATGACCCACCTCATGGCAATAGAAACATTCTCTTTTCTCCACAGGTGGTGGAGATGCAGCGGATGACGGAGGAGTTGTCACAGGACGGGGACCAAGTCTACGAGGCAGAGGGGTAAACACAGTCTTGTGGGTCAAAATAAACTCATCCGCAAGGGTGGCAGCTTCAGACAAAGAAACAACTTTTTGTTCGTTTAAATACACCACAACCCTGTCAGGGATACAGTTTTTAAACTCCTCTAACAATAACAGTTCCTTGAGCTGTTCGAAGTTAGAAACACCACTCGCAGCACACCATTTCTCAAAGAGCAGGGCCTTCTCACGCGCAAACTCAACATGGGTTTGGCTGGCGGATTTACTTAATTTTCTGAAGTTTTGTCGATAAGCCTCGGGTACTAGCTCATATGCTTTTAATATAATGGCTTTCACAACATCATAATCTAAGCTCTGCTCTAACGCCAGAGCCAAACAAACCTCCTGCGCTTTCCCCACTACACTGTAAAAAAAAAAGGTTCAGCCAACTCAAAAATTCAAGGCAACATGCTGCAATACATTTTTGAGTTAAGCTAGCCAACTCAGTTACAGAAGTTTAACAAACCTATAGACAGAGGTTCAGCTAACTTTGACTTCAGAGTTAAGGCAACACTGTAATACAAGTTAGATTAACTTAGGTACAAAGTTTCAATAAACTNGTAAAAAAAACAATTAAAATCCGTAAAATATACAGTACAGTGGGTGCAGTCCTGTAAAACCAATAACGTTGCTACCGTATTTTTGACGGTAAAGTTCTGGCAACCACAGCTGCCAGTTTTTTACCGTAAAATTTACGGTTTATTTTTTACAGTGTAGGGATGTTGAATCAAATGCTGTTAGTTAGCTCTGCTAATCAAGCTGAAATCTGTTTCAAAATCAAAATCAAGTCACTGGATACCAAAGGCTACATATCAAACTGTCTGTCCTGCCTGCTGTGTCTCTGTGTGGAGGAGCAGGATATCACTGGTTCTCTTCTGCTGTTATGAGAAGATTGATGTTATGAAGCTGCCCTAATGAATAAAGCTTAAAAAGGCATCTTACATCTTTTCAAATTAAAATACATCACTAGGTTATTTTTTGTTGGCAGCAAGAACACTTTTATTGGGGACCATTATAGACTTTCTGTTACACTTGTTTAGATGATTTGAGGTCTTCATATACAGTATCTGCCTTATTCACAGAGACCAAATGGAAGAATGCAATTCAGATCTACAGGAGAAACCGGATTTATCTTCCATATTGAAGGTATGCATTTATTGCTGATATATATTTTCTGAAGTGTTGTGTGAACTGACTTACATTTTATACAGATGTACAATAAGAAACTAATCATGTTAAAGGAAAGATATTCAAACCTACGACTCTCAAATGAACCTATGAAAAGGTTTGGTGCAAGCAATAATAATGAACTGTGACTGTGGATTTTAGTTACTAGAGGAAAATGCTGTAAGGTTCCTGAAGGATGAGCTGAAGAAGATCACGAGGTACCTAGATCAGAATTACCCAGAATGCTCTGAGCCTCAGCTGGAGGAGGGCAATGACCTGGACAGTGATGGTCAGATGCAGAAGACCTGTGCTAGAGAAGGAGCTCTGAAGATCACACTGTACATCCTGAGGACCATGGAGCAAAATGATCTTGCTGACAGGCTGGAGACGAGTAAGAGCTGTATCTCATTCTGTGTGTGTTTGTTTTGCCACTGAAAAAAATATTATACTGTATGACAAAAATAGTGTTCTAAATTTCAGTTTAACATTTTATTTGATTTAGGTTTGCTTGTGTGAGTGAAAAAATGTTTTTTGCATTTACCTCATTTCATTTCAGGACATCTTCAATGTCAGCGCAGAATCAAATGTAACCTAAGGAAGAAATGTGAATGTGTATTTGAAGGGAACGCTAAGGAAGGACAGCCAACATTTCTCAAAGAGATTTACACAGAACTCTACATAACTGAAGGTGGGACTGGAGGAGTCAATGATGAACATGAAGTGAGACAGATTGAAACAGCATCCAAGAAAAGGTTAACAGAAGATACTACAGTCAAGTGCAATGACATATTTAAACCCTCATGTGGGTGTGTGACACCTATCAGAACTGTACTCACTAAAGGGGTTGCAGGTATCGGGAAAACAGTCTCTGTGCAGAAATTCATTCTAGACTGGGCAGAAGGAAAAGCAAACCAGGATGTTCACTTCATATTTGCTTTTCCATTCCGGGACCTGAATTTGATTAAGGATGAATACAGTCTGATTGAACTGCTTCACCACTTTGTCCCTGATCTGAAATCATTTGAATCCACTGAGCTGTTTAGGTTCAAAATCTTGTTCATCTTTGATGGTCTAGATGAGTGTCGCATTCCTCTAGATTTTCAGAACAATGAGAGCTGGCTTGATGTAAGAAAGAAAACATCATTGGATGTGGTGTTGACTAACCTCATTAAGGGGAATCTGCTCCCATCCGCTCTCCTCTGGATAACCTCCCGACCAGCAGCAGCCAATCAGATACCTCCTGAGTGCCTCCACCGGGTGACAGAGATAAGAGGGTTCAGTGATGCCCAGAAGGAGGAATATTTCAAGAGAAGATTCAGTGATCAGAGCCTGGCCAACAGGATTATCACACATGTGAAATCATCAAGGAGCCTCTTCATCATGTGCCACATACCTGTGTTCTGCTGGATTTCAGCCACTGTCCTTGAGAAGCTTTTTAGTGAAACTGACAGTGGAGAAATTCCAAGGACTCTGACTGAAATGTACACACACTTCCTGATCTTTCAGACAAGTTTAAAAAATGACAAGTACATGAAAAACAGTGAAACCAAGCTTAAGGAATACAGCAAGAAATTCCTTTTAAAACTGGGTAAACTGGCTTTTGACAACCTTGAGAAAGGCAATCTCATATTTTATGAGCAAGATCTGACAGAGAATGACATTGAAGTCAGTGAAGCTTCAGTTTACTCTGGAGTGTGTACAGAAGTCTTTAAAGAGGAATATGGGCTGTATCAGGAGAAGGTGTACTGCTTTGTGCATCTGAGTATCCAGGAGTATCTCGCTGCTTTTTACGTGTTTCTATCAAACTCATCAGCTGACCTGCTGAAGACTTCAGTGGATCAGGCATTAATGAGCAAAAATGGACACTTGGACCTCTACCTCCGCTTCCTCCTGGGCCTCTCAACAGACTCCAGTAAGACTCTGTTACAAAGGCTACTGGGAGAGACAAGAACCAGCTCACATAACATTAAAGAAACAGACAAATACATCAAGGAGAAAATACAGAAGAATTTATCTCCAGAAAGGACCATCAACCTGTTCCACTGTCTGAATGAGCTAGGTGACAATTCTCTAGTAGAGGAAGCACAGAAGTACCTGAATTCAGGACGTCTTTCAGCAGAAGACCTCTCACCTGCACAGTATTCAGCTCTGGCCTTTGTGTTACTGATGTCAGATGAGGAGCTGGATGTGTTTGATCTGAAGAAATTCATCCGATCTGATATGGAGCATTGGAGGCTGCTGCCTGTGGTCAAGACATCTAGGACAGCTCTGTAAGTGAAGATGTGAAAACGTATATTACCTGGCAGTGACGCATTAACATTTTAAACAGTTTAAAATATTAACAATTTAAAATGAATTAAACATACAGTATATTCCTCCTCATAGGTTAATAACCAGGCTGGATTTGTTTTTTGATAATCTGGGACCCAGATTTTATAATGACTGAGGGTAGTGATGAATTACAGAAACTCAGCCATTAAGTGGCAGACCATGTAATGTAACAGAGCAGGGTCGTCCGAGTGTCAAAGGCACATAGTGCATGAAAATCACCAATACTCTGCTGACTCAATGACTGCAGAGCTACAGACTTTCTCTGGCATTAACCGCAGAGCAAAAACTGTGCACCGTGAGCTTCATGGAATTGGCTTCCATGGTCGAGTAGCTGCATGCAAGCCTCACATCGCTAAGCATAATGCCAAGCATTGGATGGACAGCTGTAAAGCATGCTGCCACTGGACTCTGAAGCAGTGGGAATGTGTTCTGTGGAGTGACGGCAGTCTGGGTTTGGCAGACGCCATAAGGACGTTTCCTGCCTGACTGCACTGTGCCAACAGTAAAGTTTGGTGACTTTAAAGTTTGAGAAGGGATAATGGTATGGGGTTGTTTTTCAGGGGTTGGGCTAGGCCCCAGTGAAGGCCCGTAGTTCCAGTGAAGGAAAAAGATATTTTGGACAATTCTATGTTTCAAACTATGTGGGAACAGTTAGAGGGAGGCCCTTTTCTGTTTCAGCATGACTGTGCCCCAGTGCACATAGGAAGGTCCATAAAGACGATTAGGTGAATTTGTTGTGGAAGAACTTGACTGGCTCACACAGAGCCCTGACCTCAACCCCACTGAACACCTTTGAGATGAACTAGAACAGAGATTATGAGCCAGGTCTTCACATCCAGACCTCATAAATCCTCTTCTGGATGAATGGGCAAAAAGTCCCACAGACACACTCCAGAATCTTCTAGAAAGCCTTTCCCGAAAAGTGGCAGCTGTTATAGCTGCACAGGGGGGACCAACTCCATATTGATTCCTATGGATTTAGGATGGGATGTCATGAAAACTCCTGTAGGTGTAATGACCAGGTGTCCCAATACTTTTGTCCATGTAGTATATTCTGGTCTGAGTGTGTATAATAACACGGCTCCTTTTTCAGGCTGAACAGCTGTAATCTCACAGAGGAATGCTGTGAGGAGCTGGCTTCAGCTCTCAGATCAAACTCCTCACACCTGAGAGAGCTGGACCTGAGTGACAATGACCTGCAGGATTCAGGAGTGAAGCTCCTCTCTGCTGGACTGGGGGAATCACACTGTAAACTGGAGATACTGAGGTCAGTATTACTGGGTATTCCACACTGTAAACTGTAATTATTGAAAGGAGTCACATTTACTTAAAAGTAATTCTTGCATTGGTGAGGTGATCTTATATATTGTAGAGTTTTTGTCCGTTTCTCATGCAGGCTGTCAGGCTGTAGAGTCACAGAAGAAGGCTGTTCTTCCCTGGCTTCAGCTCTGAGGTCAAGCCCCTCACAGCTGAGAGAGCTGGACCTGAGCTACAATCATCCAGGAGACTCAGGAGTGAAGCTGCTCTCTGCTGTACTGGAGGATCCCAGCTGTAAACTGGAGAAGCTGAAGTGAGTAGAGAGTGTGTGTCTGACACACTACAGATACTTATGTATGTATGTGAAGAAGAGGCACAGATAAATGGATACAGAAGTACTATGTCATTCTGCTTCTCCTGTAGTGTGGACCATAATGGAGAGTGCAGGACCAGACCAGGCTTACTGAAATGTAAGTATGTTTGCATGTTTTTATTATTAATACCATTATTCATTCAGTTATTGTGATGAATGTGTTTTTTGCACTGTAGTTAGATGTATTTCAATCTTTGAGTTTCTGTGTGTGTGTCATTTAGATCATTCAAAAAAGAAAAACAAAATAAACATCACCAAAAACACTATTAATTCATTTATCAGTTTTTTTTTAAACGAACTACCACTCAATATTTTCACAAGCTTCACAAAGTAGCATATGCATTCGTTATTATGAACCATTGTATTTAACCCGAATTTTTAATATAACAGGCTGTATGGCAGTCTGTTTGTAAGTACGAGCTGTTCGTAATCAGGCGTTCTTAACTCTGGGGCTGCCTATAGAACATAAGAACATACCTGAATTCCCTCAGGGGAAGCTGTGCTGTTTTTGTACGGTACAGTTAGGGCTGGGCGATATCAAATCGC